TAAGCAAATTCAAATATTTTGACAGTTCATACTGCGGTTATACATTGCAGCCAATGCGCAGCAAACAAGAGCTTGCCACTGCTATAAGCATTCGTATTCGTAGCTTGTTTGAATCTCAAATTTATTCGAATTATCATAAGTAGCCGGAAGCCCGTCCTGCGGACGGAGTTCTTCAGCACAAAATCGATTCTCAAACATTTTAAATCTACCCTTTCTCATTTCTACTTCTTTTCCTTTCACAATTTTCATGTTTTTAAAAAACTTCTTACCCCTATCCATGTCACCTATGATTCATGCATTTCTAGCTTCTCGGACAGTGCTGTCTTTTCCCTCATTGGCAAATCCTGAAAGTTTTATGAAAAATATAGATCAGAGTTATGTTTGTTCTGCACGTCTGCATTTCAGGTATTCGTGACACAGTTTACGTGTGATGACGTGGGCATCTCTCAACACACTTTGCAGCATGAGCGACGGTGCCGTGGCGGGATATCTGGAAATGTAGCCTTGAGCTCAGTTTATTTTTCTCCGTCACCTCACCCGGGGGAGGGGGGGGGGGAGCCAATGACTTTGGGTACTTTGGGGACAAGTGCAGAATTTCGCCAGCAATTTAACCTCAAGTCTCCAAGATTTTTAGCCCCCATTGGTACCCAAAAGTCTCCTTTAGAAGTCATTTAATAAAAGATAATATCAAAACTACATAAAACTCGCCAAAACTTTGGGTACTTATGGGGACAAATGGAAAATTTCACCAGCGATTTGACCTTCAGTCCCTATGATTTTCGTCCCCATTGGTGCTCAAAAGTCTCCATCAGTAGTCATTGCCCCCCCCCCCCCCCCCCCCCTCATCCTGTGTCGGCTGTATTCAATTCTGATTGTACCACGGTTAAAAAATGCCAGTTAAATGTACCAACTCTCGTTTTATTTATTGTACCGACTCTCGCTCTTCGACCACGCTTTTCGTCTACTTGGCGTAGGGCGCGGTAATATTTCATGTAATCACGCACACACGTATCGCTCGCGATGTAGAAATAAGTGCAGCGCACATGGTCTTGTGGGTGACCCCCGTAATCCATGTGGTGGGGCAGGAGGGTCAAGCACTGTTTTTGTGGGTGACCCCCGTAACCATGTGGTGGGGCAGGAGGGTCAAGCACTGTTTTTTCTGAAATGAACCTCCTGATCCATGTGGTGGGGCAGGAGGGTCAAGCACTGTTTCTGAAATGAACCTCCTGATCCATGCGGTGGGGCAGGAGGGTCAAGCAATGTTCTTTTCAGGTTGAACCTCCTGCGCCATTATAATCACTGCACTGGATGTTTTATAAATTGTGACCGATAAAGCTTTGTTAACTTGAACTGGAAACTAAGTAAAGTTCATCCCATTGTGCATGGATGATGACGTACCGACACATGCATCAGGACTCTCAGAACTGTCAAAATAAGTGAAGTGGTTCTCCGGACAGGGGGTACATTCAGAAGACCCTCTCACTGATGCATAGGTACCCTGAACAATAACAAATAAATGTTCAAATTCATAACGTATTGTAACCAAGATAATTAATTCTCAATGTTTGCTTATTTGTGACGTATAATTAATGGAGAAATAACTTGCCTCCCTGCATCAAAACTATTTTTGGTATGAATCACGATAAAAGAAGATATTGCATAATAGAAGACTAAAACTCTGACCCTTGGACATCTGATACAGTGAGACCGTCCACCATTTCCGGGCTGATAGCTGCCCTTGGGACAGAGATGGCACTCTCCGAACACAAGGTAAGTTCCTCTAGGACACTGCTGCTCCTCCGCAAACACTGCACATACCACGACCTGGACATAAACATATATCAGGATTATTCTTTAGATGTTTTCTTGGAGGCTCAAGCGTCTCTCAGTCTCTCCGTCAGAAAGTAATTATAAAAGCGAAGCCAAACGTTAGGGGTCGTTCACATATTATTACGTAATCACTTTTTGAACAATTTATACCCCCCCCCCTCCGTAATCAGTTTTAAAGATAGCTATTGTGTCCAAATTACACTAGCGTAATCATTCGGAAACCCCCTCCCCCTCGGCTGATTACGTAATATGAGTACGACCACCCCTTATTAAATAGAGATGTGTACGGTTAATAAATTTGACTCACTGTTAAAAAAGTCAGTAACACAATCTTCATATTGTGCGAGAGGAATCAATGCTGTAGAGCTAAATTAAAATAGGAACGTCTCAATAAACCAAAAACCGCAGGATACTTCAGAGACTTTTTAAAATAAAATTACTCTAGGCCTAGCTAAGATTCGATTAATTTAATCCTTTGATTAACTTAATTATTAAAGCTAACTAAACGAATTTGGGGAGTGTTGACTGTTGAGGGGGTCAAGACATCATTTAATTGATATGGCTTCTAAAACTATAATTGGAGAGAATTGAGTTTAAGTTGACTGTTGAAACACCTGGAGAACTAAACGTAAGTAGGATCAACTATTTTCGCCAGTGGAGTAACTTATAACTAGCTTTCAGACGTTGGTGCAGGCTATAATAAATACTCGTTTCTCATGATTCATACTCATACTGAGTTTGTAGCATGGAGAACTGAAGTAGAATTCGAAATCTAATATTTTAATTCCACGATGAGCATTGTGTTCGTCACTGTAACACATTCGTTCATAAAAGAATATGCACATTACTCTTTGCTCATAAATAAAAATTATGAGTAATATTTCCTTCGTATCATTCAAATATCCACATGACACACCCACACAAGCTGAGATGGACTCAGCAGATGAAATTGAAACGTCCTACATCCGAGCCATCCGTCGAATGAAGTAAAAAACTTGCCGGCGATTACCAACACAATACCATGGCCACTGTATTTTCATGATCCCTGAGAAGATGTGTTGGTTGCGAGCAGCAGCTGTGCCTGATAGTGGCAACTCTCGCGGGCTCATTAATCGGCCGCTCTTGGGGGTCGAGAGCGTTCCCGCGTTCTTTAAGCGAGCTATGTCGACTGTTGGACCGTCTGATAGAACATATGTGTTGTAGTAGTGAGCAGTGGCAGTACTTTAGAATTGCATAGTAAGCCTACTTTATCAGAGGAAAGTAATGCTCAGCTCTGTTAGTATCGTTCGTGTCCAATTGGATAATTTAATGGGCACAGGAAACAGTTTAATTGGGCAATTAACTGGCTTTATTTGTAATTAGTTTCAGTAATCGGTTTGGGACTTTACCTCAGCTATGCTCATCATTTCACTTCGAATGAACCTTACTAACAATTACTGAATTACTATCTAATAATAGCAGTACTTTTCAACTACTGCTAATTCAATTTAGGTTCAATCCTTGCTGTTAATTTCGAAAAACGTAACTTGTCCGACCCTAGTCTTGTTTGTTCACACCTGATAATTAAAAATTATAAACACCCAGTCAGCCTCAAAAAGGTTACTAGAAATGAAGGAGCTCCTGGCCTTGGTGGAGGTAAAAATCAAGAATGAGTCTTAAAAAGAGAGGAGAGAGGAATGAATTACGTCCCAAGCAAAAGCACAATGCTTTGGTTCCGATTAAAAGCGTTCACAGTAATTTCTTGCTTGAGAAGGACAAGACTAAACGAGTAAAGGTGAGATTTAAATTTATTTCAGAATTTGTAGGTTTATTTGTGAATTTAATGATTCTCATACCATGGATAATTTGAATTATCGACTTATGAATTCTAATCGATATCAAAGAACATCATCACCAACAATCTGTCCCACAAAAGTTTTCTGCAGATTTTAAACTAGAAACTGACCACTCAAAGGCTTCCATTTCAGATTATAAACGACGAGCAACATCAGACTTCAAAACGCCTGGAAATCAGAGCTGAGGCTATGATTGAAACACAACACAAAAGTAAAGTTTACTAATAAATAGTAAATAACTTAGATCAGAATAAGAAAATGGCTATCATCATAGACCTTTTTGAACTATATCTCTAGTTTTCCGAAACAGACATTCACTTTTAGGTGCGACCCCAAACAGGCATCTACAAAAGCGTTTGGAAAGGGCATTCAACGTGCTCAGTGTTAACTATTCCGACAATGGTAATGACTCCTTTGACGATCAACTCCCGCTGTACGGGATGAAGGTAGGAATGCTAGATAACATTTGGAAAGCTGGGTATCCAAATAATAACGCTAGTGTAATTTTGACACAATAGCCATGTGTTAAACTGATTACGGAGGGGAGGTGTTAAAAATTGTCCAAAAAGTGATTACGTAATATTTGAACGACCCCTAACACGCTGTATTTCCAGTCATTAAACACCAAGAACCAGAAACCTTCACCAACTTCTGGAAATGCGAACCGAAAGAAGAAGATAAGCTCAAAATTAGAGTTTGACAGTTGCATCTTCAATAACAAGGCGCTACTTGAAATTCCTGAGGAGAAGAAGAAGAAACCGTTCTCCTCATTCGGTGAGACCTCTTTTGCATCTTAAGAATGTTTCAATGAAGCCATTTGATCCCATCATGAGAAATGAATCAAAAAGCCATACGTTTCCCTCTATGACATATTTTTCTCCATCAGGAATAAGATCGAGTGATTCGCCATACGGAAACAAAACTAAACTTTATGGCGAGGACGTGATCATAACAGCTAACGATCCCAACGAGAACTCAAGATGTCCTAGTTGCCTTAACAGCGTGTGCTGTTGCTTGAACGAGGTGTACCGCCCGGCTACCTCCGGTCGTAATACCAGAAAGTACTCAATCTTTAAACAAGGAGTGTTCAAAAACAATACTGGGTTAGCGGTAGTGGGGATACAAAGAGTCCTCAGCCCTCCCTCCACCTGCACCTTCGTTAAGAATAAGAGGCAGAGTGAGCAGAGGAGCGAGTAAAGGACAAAGAACTACTCTGGATTTGAAGGACTTAAATGAAGGGTTTGAGAATAAACTGATTGCATTTTTATCAGGTTTTCAAATCTAGACTGTTTTTTGTAGAGACTAGAAAAGCTGTGTTGTTCAGAAAAACTGCTGTTTAATGGAACGTGAAATTATCAGTTATCATTACTTATCAATTGTTTTAAATCCCGAACAAACATAACATTTTAAATTAATTGTATACAAAAGCTGAAAAACAACCAAGTTACTTATCCAGACCTAAGAGAAGTTATATAATCTAGTTATCTTAATTTTAAAACTATCATGACAATGGCAAGAAATAAAAATTATAAGGTACTTTGACATGAAATAAACACAGAACTTAAAATTCTAACAACATTGCAAAATCCATCCTGCACTGTACAAAAATGTTCAACCAAATTATCAATGGAGTCTATTTATACAGTTTTGATACAATTCAGATAAAATGTATCACAGCTCAATCAAACTTCTCAAGTCCTCCTGCAACGACACTCTCGCTCATCTTTACTAAAAATATGAATCATTAAACCTAGATTAAGATCTTCAGAAATCTTTAATGGGTCCTCTACCACCACCACCATACATGGGCCCGGTCACAGGTTTCTTGCCTATGTCAGTCTTGAGCCTGAGCCTTCCGATAATCTCCAACATTTCGTCCCTGGTCGTACTCATAATGCTAAGAGTGCTGACGTTTGAAGAGATGGAGTTGGAGCGACTACGGCCGAAAGGAGCTGTTTTGAGGGTGTCCTCTGCTTCGTCAACGCAGGGTAGTTCTGTAATGAGCTGCTGAAGTCGGCTGATATGGGCCTGAGATTGTTGGGTATTTAAGTAATAGTTGATACTTTGCAACAGGCTTACCATAATGAAAAACTACAAGTATAAATCACTAAATCATTTCTCAACAAGTTAAGATCGTCCATGAGTTATGTTTGCAAGATTTTGGTCAATTTGGACCCCGGTTAGTAATTTTGGACATTGTGTTGTAATTACGCTATGCGAGGGCGTATGTAAGTTGTTAGTTGTTAGAAAGTTAGTAATCGAAAATATAAAGATTTGGGTAAACACCGGACGCATAATTGGACAGTTCACAGTTAACGGTAAACTTGCAACTTAAACAAAGACCCCATGCATATAATCATATGATAATGGCGTGATAACTGATAATCCGGACACGCCGCGTCCAAAAATATATTCGCTGGATTTTCAGACTTCTCAAATTAGAAAACATTGGAAATCTGAGTAATTCTATGGGAACTGCATAGAAATTCACTCAACTTAAATCTTTAGACCGATTCAAGCAGATTAGCGAAATGGTTCTACTATGAGGAATCATGTTCCATTTGAATTTTGTACTCAGAAAGATGAAATTCAACCATAAATTAGACATTCAACGTTGCATCGTACGAAAGTGCGCGCGCGCAACGTCACAATGACATGCTAACATTTACAAAATTGTCAACTTTTTATGTAAAATTGGTATTGGGCGTTACGAATATGGATCTTTAACTGAGGTACAGACTACAGATAGCATTGGGTCATAATTTCTATATCTACACACCGATTGAGAAAAACCAATTTTGTAATCAACAAGACTAAGTGTAAACTCGTCACATTTTAATCAATGGGGCTTTTTTGATAATCACCTGCATATCAGATCGTTCATTTAGCAGTTTATTGATAAGATTGTCTTTTTGTTGGAACTGTAATCGCAAGGCTTGTCTTTGAGACTGGTACAAGGAAATGTACTCCCCTGAAATCGTCAAAATATTCAAAATACGATGAAAAGAAAGTGTGATTGCGTGAAAATGGTGTTGTACATCAAACATTCCATTCACAAACGATTAACAATCAAACTTTTTAAAGAGAAATGTTGCACATTCCAGCCACAAAATCGAGGGTTTCAATGTAATTTGTCTTACCGATCGTATCAGTTTCGCCTTCTAATATGATATTCTGGTGCTCGATATCTTTCACCTTCTCGACAAGGTTCGCGTTTTCTTTCATTACTACCGCGAATTTCTCCTGTTTAGAACGGTTGTTAGTTAGTTGTCTGTCTCTCTGTGTAAAACAACAGTTTATTGTCTACATTTACAACTTGTATGGTAACCATGGTAACCATCTTTCGTTGCTGTTGAACACGGTAGAATGTACTATTGTTGAAAATACAAAGAGCAATACATTTAGGAGGAGGTAATCTAAACGAAGACATTAAATCGTGCAAATTTCTGTTTGTAAATATATAATGTTCTATTATTATTTAATTCTGACCTGTAATTTTTGCATATGCTGCATATACTCGTCCCCATGTGGACCCTTAGAAGCTAAATACTTAAGTTTGTTCTCAAACTCTGTCTCAGTGGATTGCATATGAGCTTTCATAACATCAAGAGGAACCTCCTGGTGATTAAGATTTTGAGGTACAACATCCTGATTACCAGGTGTATCTTTAGTTTTATTCTCAGTCGGCATATCTTTAGTTGCTGATAAATCCCCCCTCTCAAACTGGCCTGCAGATGTAATTGAGATGCTGTCATCACCTCCGTTTTCCACCACGCCCTCACTATCATATCGTGTGACACTGGAGCGTCGGTTATCCAGGGCTGCGTCCTGGTGGGAGTTGTCGTAGTGCTGTGTCGCTAGGTACATGTGGAGTTTCTGGATAACCTGGGATTGGCGCTGTATCTCCTGTTTGTAGTGTTGCACACTGCGCTCTTGTTGCATTTTAGCGCGGGATAGCTGCATTTCTAAAACACGAACATGAGCTTGAAGTTTTCGTTCCTCTTTTGAGCGGCTTGTTTCTGAAACAAAATGATGAATAGAGCATCTGAACATTGCAGTGAGGAATGAACTCATTAAAAACCAAATTTAACTGAGAAAATTATAAATCTTGTTTACAATAAAAATCTCACCTTGTGTCATAACATCCGCTCCTTCTTCTTCTTCTTCTTCCTCCTCATCAGTATCCTCCCCCAACCCTGTCTCTATCTTCACCAACTCCTCCTCCAGTTGGTCCAATGTGGACTGGAGGGTCTGTTTCTCTTGTTCCAAATCCTTCACTTCTTCCCTGTCGTCCACTGTGTACACCTAGAATAGTAACCATTAGTAACCGTTAGTAACAGTTAGTAACTGTTAGTAACCGTTAGTAACTGTTAGTAACCGTTAATAACTACTAGCCAGCTACCAGTTACTTAGTTACCAAGAAAATAAGCGAAGCTAGTACACTTAAGAAACTTTGGGCGTTGATAAGTTAAAATTATAATTATAATTAAATTTACATAACAAATAAACGTATTTAATAACTAAAAGTTGCGGCAAGTAACTGTGAGCATATAATTTAAATTTACAGCAAGAATATGTACTATGTTGCAAGACAATATTCGTCGTTTGCACTAACGTTCATTGCATAATATTATGATATAATATCGTGTACTTCAATAATGTGTGTAATTAAGTCTGAGTGATTACTAGAACGATGTAAAGTGATCCCAATTAAATTAGAGTCGTGTAGCACAGGAGCTATTTAAAACTTCCTCTTCACCAATCTTAAATATGCGGTAAAACCTGAAATTCTGCAATTATTTAACTTTTACTAGTATTATAACATACCGACAGTTCATCAGATTGGGTTCGTTTTCTTTCCCGTATCTCCTGTGTTTCTTGCTGTATTTGTTTGTTCATCTCGTTATACAGCCTGAAAATAATGAATTTGTCACTGTGTGTAAAATGATGTAACACTGTCATAAACCAGTGAGTAAGCGACGGCTAACGGGTCTTATTACATTAATCATTAATGTATTTTAGTTTTTGTTAGTTCAAAGAACTGTAGACTGCAGATAGGAAGTTGATGATTGAGATCAAAAAGATAACACCCTAGTCCCTATTTTTATCTTTGAATGATTGAAACAGTCGGAGATAATATTTGACATACTTTGAAAACCTCATTGAGACGTAATACCAACTTTTTGAAAAGTTGCAAAATAACATTCAAATCATGAGTCAGGATCAAAACATAAGAAACACGAATGCCATTTTATGAATTAATGGCAACTCATAGCTCAAAATTCGCTCCTTCATAATTCTTAAAATTCTGCCTTTCTTTTTGTATCACCCTGTAAATAGCCATCCAATTTTCAAGGTCCAACAATAGCGCGGGCCGCGGCCACAGTGTCAGAGTATTTACCAAAATGACAAGATTGGACTTTAACTAAACATTCCAAACATACCTGCTGAGCTCGTCCATGTAATGAGTGTGTAATTCCTCTTCCCGTGCCTTTAAATCAGATGCTCCTTTGTTTGTAAAGTAATGTACTAATTGCGTGTACTGTGTTTTGAGACTCGACCTGAAGAACGTATTGTATTTATGTTCCGCTTTTGGAAACAATAAGACATGCTATCTTTATAATATCATCTTGAAAGTCCCAACTTTAAAAAGTTTACACTTTTTGTTACCTGAAGTTTTGTTGGAGCTCACTAAGTTGACCTCTGAGCGCCTCCACCTCGTCATCATGGCTGGTCTGTATCTCTGTTATATAATGCTTAAACTGGCGAGTCTGTGCGGTGATCCGCTCCTCTAGAGTGCCTATCTGATCACGCAACTGCTCCTCGTAGTACTTATCTAGAAACTCGCGCTGCTTCTCACGTTCTAACCTGGATACGTAGTCAGCTTTAGTGATTATATTACTGCTACTAGAGTATTACATTCATTGTATAAAATAGAGGGAAAGTAACCGATTGTTTATTTATTTACTGATTTGATACTATTGTGTCCAATTCATGGCATAGTTAAACATATAATATGAATCAGGAATCTACCTTTCATTGGTGAGCATATCCTGGATCTTCTTATCAACAGCTTCTGAATTATACTGTTTCTCCAATCTCTCTATCTTCTCTTCCAACGCTTCTTCGTTTGGTGACTTACCTGAATATTTCAACTTTATCGTATTGTAATATGTTTTATCGTCGCAGATAAGACAAATCGTTTCCAAACGTGAATCAATAGTTCAAGTTTTTGACCAATGATAGTTCAGTTAGTGAAGTTGTTGAGAGGCTCTACCTGTATCCAGTTGCTTTGAGAGTGAGGCTACCTTCTCTTGTAACGCCACGTTCATCGCTTTAACACTGTCCACCTGTGCAAATATTCACGGTAATCAACTGGAAAATCATCGAAATCCAATGAATCATATAATGCATTTAAATTAATTGCAATTACTCTATATTTAGTAAATTTACAGCAGTCTGTTTAGTAGACTGACATCGGCTGCTGAAAAATGTAATTTCTACAGAGGTCTACTGTAGCTGTAGTTTGATCTGAATATGATATAACTCGCCGAATTTTTCAGCCCTAAATATGTCATTAACCCACAGGTTTTAAGGTCGGTGCAAAAAGGCTGGAGCCATCAGGTACTGATAGTGATATATGCACCTGTGTTGGTGATGATAAACGATAAACGATCAACAAAAACTTTAGTAGCAATAATCAGTTGCAGCTGTGATAAAGGGGTAAATTAATAGCTCGTGCCAGACTAAATGGTCCAGCTATCGTCATATATCAGGGGATGCTATTAATTCTGATGCTGTGATTGGTTCCTTGGTTAAGTCGTTAAGGGTAAAATCGTTTTTATTAACCATCTCAGCTGTTCCAACATACAAATTTCCGACTTTGATTTTGTTTGACAATGAGCTGGAAGACCCTGATTATTTGGTTTACCATGGTGACATGTACCATTTGCATTTCAAGTAGTGACTTTTCAGCAAATAAGCATGGTGAGATTTGAACAAAATATTTCGGATATTTAAATCGATATTTTGATAAATACTTCTATTTAATCAACATTATTGAAAGTCTCCTCTACAAGGTTTCTAGTGACGTCACTCTTTATCCCGTAGAAAACGTTAGAGACCTTGGTGTAAAAGTGTCAAGCGATCTGAGCTGGTCTAAACACGTCGGAGATATGGTCACCAAAGCTAGAAGTAAACTGTCTTGGGTGTTCAGTGTGTTTAAGACACGGGATAAAGTGGTTATGATGACCCTCTACAAGTCTCTAGTCAGAAGCTTATTGGAGTACTGTTGTCCGCTGTGGGACCCAGTCAAGACGACAGAGATTCAGCTTTTGGAGGGGGTCCAGCGTACCTTTACAAGCCGAATTGGTGGTCTATACAGCTTAAACTACTGGGAGAGGCTAGCTCATTTGAAGTTAATGTCCCTGCAACGGAGAAGGGAGAGATACATCATCTTGATGATGTGGAAAACGTACCATAACGTTGTTCCAAATAGCTGTAGCATCGAGTTTGTGGAAACATCCAGATATGGCACTAAAGCAGTTGTTCCTTCTCTATCAAAGTCGAGTTCGATGAGAAACCAGACACTGTACGATAGCTCGTTCGCAGTAAAAGGATCCAAACTGTGGAATAAGGTGCCGAGTGAAGTGAAAGCCGAGAAAACGTTTGCCAGCTTCAAAGTCAGTTTGTCGAAGTTTCTTGCTTTGATACCGGATAACCCTCCGGTTTCCGGTTATACGTGCAGCTGGTCGAATTCCTTGGTAGACTACACGCCATCACGGTGGTCAGACATCTGATGACCCTTCCTGCTACGAGGATAAACCTTACCAAGTTACCAAGTTAGTTAGTATTGTCGGAGCGTATGTTAAGGAAGGTCTGACAACAGCTGTATATATCCATTTCATGGTCTTGGTTTCCCCGATCCAATAAAGCCCTCCCTGAAAGTCTTGGTCGAAAGTGGGCAACCCATCAACGTTTGGCTTGTTACCGACTCAATTATGAGACACATTGATGAGTCATGCTTGGAATTTAGGAAATATAGGTTGAATTTCAAAAGAATTGACTTTACATGTAGTGAATCACTGACCGGTGAATACATGATGGGGAGCAAAATACCAACAGAGAAGCCTCAACTAATATATGTACATCTCGGCATCAATGATATACACAAAGGAGAGGACATTACCAAAATCATCGACAACTTCAAGATCTTTAATGAAATGCTAGAACTAGTATCTCCCACCACCAGACTGGTCATCTCTTGCCCCCTACTGAACGGAAACACCTACCAGAACCGACACGTCTTTTCCTTGAGGAGATCCCTGTCCTTATTGGTCAATCAGCAGCAAGACGAGGACCCTAAAACAAAAAGGATTTTCCTTCAGAGAAATGATAAGTTCTTCATTAACACTCAGTCCACTTCTAAAGGCATCATGTAGCCTCCAGGCTCGACAAACCCCGACAAACCCCGACAAACCCCGACATATCCTTCAACAAACCCCGACAGACCCCGACAAACCCTGACAAACCCCAACAGACCCCGACAAACCCCGACAAACCCTGACATATCCCGACAAACCCCAGGACAAACCCCGACAAACCCCGACAAACCCTGACAAACCCCGACATATCCCGACAAACCCTGACAAACCCTGACATATCCCGACAAACCCTGACAAACCCCGACAGACCCCGACAAACCCCGACAGACCCCGACAAACCCCGACAAACCCCGAAATATCCCGACAAACCCCGACAAACCCCGACAAACCCTGACAGACCCTGACAAACCCCGACAGACCCCGACAATCCCGACAAACCCTGACAAACCCCGACAGACCCCGACATACCCTGACAAACCCCGACAAAACCCCGACGTGTCGATATGTGTCGTATCATGTCGGGCCCACCGGCTACATGATGCCTTTCTAAGTAGAATTTGATGTACTTCCGCGATAATCTCCATCTATCAGAAAGAGGAATGCATGCAATCACCAACACCATGAGAGACACCCTCGACAAGATCTTCAGGGAGTTTGAGCTTCCAGTCTAAATTTTAGTCTTCAAATCATGACCACCAACCCAACCTCTTGAAAAAATACTATGAATTTACAATCCAAAATTATAAGCTGGAACATCCAATCAACAAATACAACTTTTGGCTCTAAGTTTGATGACCCTCAATTTTGTGCCGTCTTTGACAAGTTTCCTATTGTCTGCCTTCAAGAAATAAGACAACCTGTCAAACACTCGGGTTACAGGTCCTTCAATAAAACCCGCCGGGACAAAAAACATGGTGGCGTATGCATAATGGTCCAAAACGAAATATCCAAAGGCGTTAAACTTGAAAAATCCACAATTGAAGATGTTGTTGCCTGTAAACTTGACAAAAATTACTTTGGCGTAGATAATGATATATTCATTGTTAACTCATACATTAAACCAGCTAACACTTCCTCTAAAAACTCAAATATTTCGGGCTTTGACACCATCCGTGAACTGGACCAATTTCTCAATGTTCTTTTAAGTAAAGGTGATGTCATTACTTGTGGTGACTTCAACTCGCGTATCGGCCATGACATCGACTTTATCAAAGAGGACAAATGTGGCTACGAGAGCTTCATTCCCCTGCCAGAAGACTACACTCCACAAGAACTTCCAACCAGGAACTCAAAGGACAAAAAGTCGAACAATTACAAAAGACCCTTTCTAGAAATGCTTGTCAATAATGAACTCCATATTCTCAATGGGAGAACTTTAGGAGACTCATATGGTGACTTCACTTGTATTCAGACCAGCGGTGCCAGCGTTGTTGACTACTTTATTATATCCCCAAACTGCAGTAAGTATCTAAGTCATATGACAATCCAGCCGTTCACTTGCTTTTCTGATCATAAACCACTACTCCTGGCACTCAACTTCTCTCCTTCCAACACTCTTGTAAACACAAAGGCACTCCATGAAACTTACGCTCGAGCCCCACTTCGTTACAAAATAACTCCTGATAGCCTTTCAAGCTTACGGGATACAATGATGGACCCACTTGTGGAAGAATGTTCCAAAAGCCTCTTAGAAACAGATTATCCCGAAGATCTCATAGGTACATACAAATTAAACGAAGATATCACAGTACACTTGAACAAAATAGCAGACAAATGTCTCCAAAAGACCAAACATCCCAAAATAACCAAAAAGGGATCAATAAATAAACAACCCTGGTTCACACAAGCCACCAGAGAAGCTAAAATATCTTGTACTCGTGCAGCTCAAATTGTTTCTGATTTCCCAAATAGCGATTATCTTCGAAAAAATTTTTACCAGGTAAAAAATACGTACAAAAGTTTAATTGACCGTACAAAAAACAAATATCTTGACAAACTGAATACAGATATTGAATCTGGTAAAATTCTAAACTGGAAACAATTCAAAAAAACTGAAAAAATTTAAAGGAAGAGTTGACAAATTTGATTGCCATGACATGGACAACTTTCAAAAATTCTTTGGTAAACTTTATGCCAATGCACATAGCACCATAACTGTAGAGAATAAGGAAAAAATGCTTCAAAATGCAGAGGCTATTAACAATAATTTCCAACCATCCCCTGCACAATCAATACTCAATGGCCAGATCTCTGTGGACGAAATATCTACTGCGATCTCTTCACTCAAAAACGGCAAAAGTTCCTCGGAGGATATGATATGTAATGAAATACTGAAGACCTTGTCCACAACAAACACACAACTCCTTTGCAAAGTCTTTAACCGCTGTTTGGACACTGGAACTTACCCATGGAACAACAGCATTATTACACCCCTACACAAAAAAGGCGACAAAGATAATCCAGACAATTACAGAGCAGTTGCTGTGAGTAGTACAATCGGAAAATTATTTTCGACCATCATGTTAAACAGGATATTGGATAATCAAGTTCAAAAATGAATACAACCCGGACCCCATAAATCAACTTGGCTTCGCTAAAGGAGCTCAAACATATGACCACATACTCACACTCAACACAATTACGTCTAAATACAAAAAGCTCAAGGTTCCCGTCTATGCTGTTTTTGTGGACTTCCGGAAGGCCTTCGACTCTGTTTGCCGTGAAGCTCTTTTCTTAAAATTAGCTAAACTAGGTATCACTGGCAAAACATTTAATGTTCTTAAACATATGTATAAAAATTCCACTGGCCAGATAAAACTATCTGGATTTGTCAGCGAAAAATTTGATATCAATAAAGGAACTGAACAGGGTCATCCACTTTCCCCTGATCTATTTAAGATATACATCAGAGATCTTTCCCCTCGACTAGAATATGATAACTGTCCGAAACTAATGAACCAACTTAT